AATTCAAGTACATTTCATTGTTCACTAATTTAGCCTTTCATAAGTTCAGGTGCTATTAGATTTACAAATCTGGGGATATAAATATAAATCATGTAGACATCCTTTTGGATGATCATTAATGATTTTCTCTGTTTTAGCAGAACTAATTTGGTGATTCCCAAATTGGTATGCCTCATTCCAAGAGGGATTTTCTATATAAAATAAAATAACTTTTATTTGTATCATTTCTAAGTCTTTTGTAAAGCTGAGGACAACTGAAATAATAGTTACATTGTGAGAATAGACATGACCATAAATCCTGGCAAAATCATTATTTTTAAGTTGTTTCCATTTTCAAGTTTTGTAGTAATAAAAGAGATCACATTACAAGCCATATATTATTATCCTTGTAAAAGTTGTAAGAAACTAATAATGGGTAATTTTACATTTGCTAGCTAATGGTATGGTACAAACAAACATTTAACAAAATAAAAATGAAGTCCATATGCATATCAACTATTGATCATAAGTATCATTAGAAACTACAGAGCCCCAAATGAACTCTTGAGGGTAAAGCTCTTAAAATAAAAAATAACATTGTAAGTGCATAGCTACTACAAACTCATTTGATACTCATTTTAATTGAAATGACTATAATGAACATACTTTGTATTTGAACAGATGTCACAAGTACTACTACAGAAGTTCTAATATAATTCAGTCTTAGTTAAGAATGAGTAAATGAATATTTAAAATTGAATGTTACTATGAAGGAAAACAAAAAATCCAATTACAGTAAACATTAGCTCCTTTAAAAAAACAAATTAAAGAATTTTATTAAATTGTGTTCTTCCTTGTTCTGGCATATACAAAACATAATAATATAGGGAACTCGGTGTTTCAGCCTCTCCTTTCCCTTATTATCAGCTATTCTGCATTAGTAGGCCTGGAAGATGAAAATTGGGAGTATAAAAAATGACTCAGAAGGGTAAGCTGAAATTCACTTGACTGGTATATCAAAAGGATTTAAAAATGTTATTATGCCAATTTATTTTAGCTGAAGGAGGTCATTATGTATGCCATTTTATTTCAATGGGTCAGACAAGCCCTAATAGTCCCTTTAATCTTCTCCCACATGATGGACTAACATCTTAAATTCCAACATGAGAAACCCTCATGCCATAAATTAAAGACAGTGTTTCCCAATGGGTGGTTCACAGAATTACCCAAGGATGTTTGGTAAAAGCAAATATTCTGGGGCTCCAACCAAGCTCTATCAAAGCCCGGGAGTAAGACCATTCAATCCACATTTTGGCAAGTAACCTATACATTTTAATGCATACTTCTGCTTAAAACAATTGCCCCAAGGTTGGATGAGGCAACATTTAAAGCTATATATTATTCATTTCATTTGAATCAGCAAACATTTGTTAAGTACAAATTCTATGTGAATCAAAGATGTGATATATATAGACTATCCAAATAGGCAAGAAGCTTATGAGTAACTGATCTTTTAAGTACAGTTTATTAGGTACAATGATAATCTACAAATGACTGGAAACCCAGTATCTGGATGTCTAGAAATACAAAGAAAATAGTATATTTACTGTTCAGATTAAAAATTTACTCTTGATTTTAATTTAGCAATTTTTCTCCTGAAAGGGGTATCTGGAGGTTAAAGAAAAATATGTTTATCTCATTATTAGAAAATGAAACTAACATAGTGCTTAATAACAAGTTTATCCCATTTTTCCTGATGTCTTGCACATCTCATGTTTTGTAAAGGAGAGTGGTCAGCGTGTGAGGCTTATGGTGGCTGAGGGGAAGAGACAAGGAATGTCGATGAGGGGAAAAGAAGCTGAGCTGAAAGATCAGGAGCACTAAAAGTAAACTGTTTTCCCACCTCCAGTCTAATTCTCCTGATACCTCAGCTGTAAGTTGAACATATTTGGAGGCCATATTGTGTTTTTTAATTACCAGAGCAAAATTCAAAAAGTGAAAGCTAACTTTGGAGTTTAATAAAAGAAAGAAAATAAAGAACATAAAGCTGAGAGTACCAAGGTTCTTCTGCTGATTAGGAATTTGCCCCTGCCTCCACCCACACCCCAGAACTGAAGACTAATTAACTGGAATCTGTGAAAAGAGCTTTAGTAAGGAGCATCTGGTCATGAAACAGTGAAGACAAGCTGGTGAGGTTCATTAATGACTCTTACTGTCCTTGGTCGTCTACATACAGTCTTTGACTTTTCCTAATGCTGGAAACAGAATCCAGTCAAAACACATACACACAGAACTATGAGAAGTGAAAGTGAATAGCAAAAAGAGTTATGCTGGTTCTCAGCGTGGTCTCTAGACCAGCAATATTAGCATCACTTGGGACCCCACGGTATTCGTCTCCTCAGGCTTCCATAACAAAATACCATAGATTGGGTGGCTTCAGTGACAAATTTACTTTCTCACAGTTCTGGAGGCTGGGAAGTCCCAGATCAAGGTGCTGGCTGATTCTGTTTCTGATAAGGACTCTCTTCCTGGCTTACTGGTGGCTGCCTTTTTGCTATGTCCTCACATGACCGAGAGAAAGACTTCTTTCTGTTTTTTCTCCTGAGGCCACCAATCCTATTGGATTAGGATACCACCATTATGACCTCATTTAATCTTAATTACTTCCTAGAAGTTGAATCTCCAAATAAAGTCACTTTGGGGGTTAGGGCTTTAATAGGAATTTTGGGAGAACATAATTCAGTCCATAGCACTCATTATAAATACAAATTCTCAAGCACCACCCAAGACCTACTGAATCAGAAACTTAGGGAATGGGGCCCAGCAAACCAGGTTTTATTAACTCACCAGTTATCATAATGGCCATTAAAGCCTGAGAAGTACTGGCCCTCAGGATAAAGTCCCAACTCCACAGCACAGCATTTACTTTCCTTCCCAGTCTATTCCCACCCTTCCTTTCCAACCTTATTTCTTAGAGGATACTCTGTCTAAAATTCTAGCACAACGCTTTGCACATAGAAAGCACTCAGATTTTCACAATATTGTATACTATTGTTGTAGGAGTTTTTAAGAAATTATTTTAGGTAGATAGAGAGGAAAAGGGGTCCTCTCTATCAAAAACTGTGAAGAAAGTTTTTGTTTCTTTTAAAGCAGCTCCAGAAACGTTTCTTGTCTAGCAGGAAAAGTGCAGGGTCTTAGAGCCAGGCTGGCAAGCTTTGATATGCAAATACAAGCCATTAGAAACTGTGTCCACCGAAACAGGGCAATTCCTTCCCTCCTCTTGCCTTTGCTCTCACTTGTGCCTGGCAACATGGCCACCCCACACAGCTCCAGGTGTGTAGAGCATCATGGCACCCTTCATTTGCATATGAAAGGCTAGGGTGGGAGGGCCAGTTTTTTGGCAGGCTATGTGGTGAATAACATGCCTGGTCACACCAATCCCCTGAGCTCTATGCAAATCAGGTACTACCTCCTCCATCCTCCTCATAGAAGCAGCCGCTTTCCCAACACACGCACACGGTTTTCTCTCATTGGAATCCCCCCTCTCTGTCTTTGTATGGGGGAGATGTTTTCTTCTTCCTTCTTTCTTGCCTATTAAATTCTCCTCTCCTTAAAACCATTCCCCATGTGTCTGTGTCATTTTATCTAATTCGGCGCGAGATTAAGAACCCTAGTGTTCCTCCAGTCATTGGAACCGTAGTACTATTTGCTTATAACTCTTCTCTGTAAACTACTCCCTACAACTCTGCTTTCAATTCATTGCTGTTTTGGGGCACCCAACAGCCCACTGGTCTCTGACATAGCACAAAGTTGCTTAACATGAATTTTTAAAAAAATCAATACACAACTTACTACTTAATCATGTCCTTAAGTGTATCAAGCCTTATAAATGCTTAGTATATTACCTCATGAAATTCTCACCATCACCCTGAAGTAGGCATTATGATTTCCGTTTGACAGAAAAAAATACTGGAAACTGAGGCTTAATATCAAAAGATCCATTGTACAATGTGGTGACTATAGTTAATAGCAATGTATTTATTATATCTCGAAAATTGCTAAGTGTGGATTTTAAGGGCTTCACAAAAAATAACGAATATATGTGGCAAGATATGTTAGTTTGATTTAGCCATTCCACAATATATATACGTTTCAAAACATGTTGTACACGATCGACATAGACAATTTTATTTGTCAATTAAGATAAAATGTTAAAAAGAGGTCAATTAACTCCCCCAAAGTCACATACTTGGGAAGTCGTAAGGTTGGAAATTATGAACTCATGTTTCTTTGACTAGAAGCACATGTTTATTTTCACTGTGTTTTACTGCAGACACAGAGATGCAGTTTTCTGACAACATCTCCAATTTACTGCCAAGATTCTCAGAGCATGTGAGACTTGTTGCAGTAAACTTATTTCCAGTATATCTTTTGGAACCTCTCTATTACCTACATACCTGACACAGTCTTTCACATACATGTATGTGTGTTTGCATGTGCACACTCACACACACTAGCACATTGCCAGAAGTTGGCCATCATGAAAAATGAATCCGGCTCGAGTTCTTAGAGTCAAACAGATACCATGAAGTGACTACTGGAAAGAAGGCGCTCTAAATTCTACTGCTATTCTACAACCTATTTGGCTGTAGACAACCTTTAGAATGCTTTCATCTTTAACATAAAGACATCTCGAAGGGAGTTGCTTGAATGTTCACAGGGAGCTCTGATAAACTTTGTCCCACAGCCACTACCGATAATTAAGCGCTAGAAACATATACGCATATAAAAATTTAAAATCCACAAGTTTAAAACAATGGACTATTTTTTCTTCAAAATCATTCTTCCTTAGCTTCATTCCCCAGAAAACAAGCCAAATGATTCTATTTTTACTTATTTACCGTTTCCTTCCCACTGAAGCCTGGACTATAAAATAATGAACCACACCTGTTGGATTGTTTAGGTAATTCCAAGCACCAGCTGAGATACTAATTAAAAGTAACATTCCATTCTCATCCTACCTGGGGTGTTCAACAACCTTGACATCTTGCAGAAATAGGAGACATACTGCTCGCAGTACTCGGCGCTGTCAGTGATGGCACTTATCTGGTCCATGGAGGCACTGTAAACGAGCTGTGTCACTGAGTATTTTTCTGGGTTGTAGCTGACCACAGTTGTCTGCATCTGCAAGTCATGAGACACTATGGTCCACACTTTGTCTTCTGTGGGTAGAAAAACAACCGGGACCCTGGATCATTAGTATGCAAATACTTCTCCAAATGTCAGAAAATAATTGAGCTCCACTTAACTGGTCTTTTCCCTGAGCTGTTATAGAACAGAGTTAAGGAGAGCTATCCTTAAAGCAACCCCTGCTCTTTTCTCATCCCTAACTTCTTATGAAGACGAAATAGGAAAGTAATATTTTTATTGAAAACAAACACAAGATATCTCCTGAAAACAAAACAAAAATAGCTTTTGTATCTGGTTGGTGCTCTAACATCTGCAGCGTTGCATATCAGGCTCATTATGTTCCAACTTTTTCCTGACTTTGTCATCCATCGTTCCTCTGGTGGAACAGGATTTTCTCTTTCCTAAATGAACTATGCTCCCTCTCAAGCCTCTGGGTCTTCCTACATGGTGTTTTCTCTAATCAGATTATGTATCCTCATCTTGTCAACAAATGTGCTTTTCACCCTGACCTTTTAGGCAAAATTAGACATTGCATTCTCTGCTATTGAAATGTTCTGTACATGTGGGATAAAGCAAGTGAGTAATTATCTTGGTGATATTGACCCTGAAAATTTCAGTGCAAGAAAAGAAGCAGATATAAAATAGATAAGGTTAAATAAAAGCTCCATATACTTTTAAATTTTAGTTAGAAGCATCACTAAGAACCTAAGATAATGTTATCTAATTTAAAATGTGGCACGTCTTGCCTCTGTGCCCTGAAAAAGCTCCTAAACAAGGACTAACCTCATACACCAGACTGTCATCACTAAATACTATTCCCTATAAGATAAAACTAGGATCCCTGGAGAAATGATGGCTTGTATGATTGGAGATACGCAAGATGAAAGATGAGCCAGGAACATATCCCAGTAGAACAAAACAAGCAATTAGAGACTGAGGGCAGTTCAAAAACACCCAGGGCCAAAGAAGGACCAACTTTCACATCAACAAGAATAGTCTGCAATGGATTAAGGCATATTAAATATATGTAAATCCTTAAGCATATTATAATTGTTAAAAAAAGGTTTAAATTTGGAAGATGCTAGGTAAGATCTCTGCCTTTTATCCAGTTCCAAAGTTGCTTCCATGTTTTTGAGTATCTTTACAGCAGCACTCCACTACCTCATACCAATTTATTGTATTAGTCTGTTCTCATGCTGCTATGAAGAAATACCTGAGACTGGATAATTTATAAATTAAAGAGTTTTAATTGACTCACAGTTTCACATGCCTGAGGAGGGCTCAGGAAACTTACAATCATGATGGACGGCACCTCTTTACAGGGTAGCAAGAGAAAAAACCGGAGCAAAGCAAAAGTGGAAAAGCCGCTTATAAAACTATCAAATCTCATGAAAACTAACTTACTATCACAAGAACAGGTTTAGGAAAACCACCCTCATTATTCAATTATCTCCACCTGGTCCCTCCCATGACACAGGGTGGGGGTTATGGGAACTACAATTCGAGATGAGATTTGGATGGGGACACAGCCAAACCATATCAGGTGGTATCTCATTGTGGTTTTGATTTATATTTCCCTAATTATTAGTGACACTGAGCATTTTTTAACATGTTTGTTGGCCATTTGTATATCTTTTTTGTAATTATTATTATACTTTAAGCAGCCCAAATGCACATCAATGATAGACCGGATAAAGAAAATTTGGCACATATACTCCGTGGGATACCATGCAGCCATAAAAAAGGATGAGTTTTCATGTTCTTTACAGGGACATGGATGAAGCTGGAAACCATCGTTCTTAGCAAACTGACACAGAGCAGATAACCAAACACTGCATGTTCTTACTCATAAGTGGGTGTTAAACAATGAGAGCACATGGACACAGGGAGGGGAACATTACACACTGGGGCCTATTGGGGGATGGGGGCTAGGGGAGGAATAGCATTAGGAGAAATACCTAATAGAGGTGACAGGGGGATGGAAGCAGCAAACCACCATGGCATTTGTATATCTTTTTTTTTTTGGGGGAATTCTCTACTCATGCCCTTTCCTCACTTTTTGATGGGATTTTTTTCTTGCTGATTTGTTTGAATTTCTTGTAGATTCTGGAGGATTAGTCCTTTGTCAGATATGTAGTTTGCAAAGATTCTCTCCCACTGTGGGTTGTCTGTTTACTCTGCTGATTATTTCTTTTGCTGTGCAGAAGCTTATAGTTTAATTAGGTCCCATTTATTTATCTTTGTTTTTGGTGCATTTGCTTTTGGATTCTTTGTCATGAACTTTTTGCCAAAGCCAATGTTGAGAAGAACTTTTCTGATGTTATCTTCTAGAATGTTTATGGTTTGAGAACTTAGAGTTAAGTCTTTGATCAATCTTGGGTTGATTTTTTACAGAAGGTAAGCAATGAGGATCCAGCTTCATTCTTCTACATGTGGCTTGCCAATTATCTCAGCACCATTTGTTGAATAGGGTATCCTTTTTCTACTTAATGTTTTTGTTTGCTTTGTCAAAGATCAGTTGGCTTGAAATATTTCACTTTATTTCTGGATTCTCTATTCTGTTCCATTGGTCTACATGCCTGTTTTTATAAGAGTACCATCCTGTTTTGGTCACTATAGCTTTGTAGTATTGTTTGAATTCAGTTAATGTGATGCCTCCAGATTTGTTCTTTTAGTTTAGACTTGCTTTGGCTATGCAGGCTTGTTTTTGATTTCATATGAACTTTAGGATTGTTTTTTATAGTTTTATAAAGAATGATGATGGTACTTTGATGGAAATTGCAATTTGTAGACTAAATTTGACAGTATGGTCATTTTCACAATGTTGACTCTACCCATCCATAAGCATTGGAATGTGTTTCCATTTGTTTCTGTCATTAATGATTTCTTTCAGCAGTGTTTTATAGTTTACTTTGTAGAGATCTTTCACCTCCTTGGTTAGGTATAGTCCTAAGTATTTTATTATTATTATTTGCAGCTGTTGTAAAAGGGATTGAGTTATTGATTTGTTTCTCAGCTTGGTTGTTGGTGTATAGCAGTGCTACTAATTTGTGTACATTAGTTTTGTATCATGAAACTTTACTAAATTGATTTATCATATCTATGAGCTTTTCGGATGAATCTTTAGGTTTCCTAGGTATATGATCATGTCATCCATGAACAGTAAAATTTTAATTTCTTCTTTACAAATTTTGATGCCCTTTATTTCTTTTTCTTGTCTGCTTGCTCTGGCTAGGACTTCCAGTACTATGTTAAATAGAAGTGGTGGGAGTGGGCATCCTTTTCTTATTACAGGTCTCAGGAGGAATGTTTTTAAGTTTTTCCCACTCAGTATAATGTTGGCTGTGGGTTTGTCATAGATGGCTTTTATTACCTTGAGGTATGTCCCTTCTATGCCAATTTTCCTGAACGTTTTAATCACAAAAGGATGCTGGATCTTGTCAAATGCTTTCTCTGAGCTATTGAGATACTCACATGATTTTTAAATTAATTCTGTTTATGTATACATAAATACTATTTATAGTATTATTATTACATACTACGCATAGTATTTATTAAGTGTGTATGTCAAATCATTCCTGCATCCCAGGTATAAAATTCACTGGATAAGAGTGTATTATTTTTTTGATATGCTGTGGATGTTTAGTTAGCTATTATTTTGTTGAGGATTTTTGCACCTGTGTTCATCCACAATATTGGTTTGTAGTTCTCCTTTTCTGTTATGTCCTTTCCTGGTTTTGGTATTAGGGTGATACTACATTAATAGAATGATTAGGGACAATTCCCTCCTTCTCTATCTTTTGGAATATTTTCAGTAAGATTGGTACCAATTCTTCTTTGAACGTCTGATAGAATATAGCTGTGAATCCAACTGGTTCTGGACTTTTTTGTTGGCAATTTTTTAAAATACTGTTTCAATTTCACTCTTGTTTTTGGTCTGTTTAAAATCTTTATTTCTTCCTGATTTAATCTAGGAGAGTTGTATATTTCCAGGAATTTATCCATCTAGACTAGATTTTTAGTTTGTAAAGGTGTTCATAGTAGCCTTGAATGATCTGTTGTATTTCTGCAGTATTTGTTGTAGTATCTTCTGTTTCATTTCTAATTGAGCTTATTTGGATCTTCTCTTTTTTTCTTGGTTAATCTTGCTAATGGTCTATCAATTCTGTTTATCTTTTCAAAGAACCAGGTTTTTTTCATGTATCTATTGTATTTTTTTGTTTGTTTGCATTTCATTTGGTTCTGCTCGTTCTTTGTTATTTCTTTTTTTCTGCTGGGGTTGCATTTGGTTTGTACTTTTTTCTCTAGTTCCCTGAGGTGTGACCTTAGATTTTTTATTTGTGCTCTTTCAGACTTTTTGATGTAGGCATTTAACGCTGTGAACTTTCCTCTTAGCACCACTTTCGCTGTATCCCAGAAGTTTTGATAAGTTGTATCACTATTATCATTCAGCTCAATTTTAAAATTTCATCTTGATTTCATCGTTGACCCAATGATCATTCAGGAATAGGAACAGGCGATTTAATTTCCAGGTATTTGTACAGTTTTGATAGTTCCTTTTGGAGTTAATTTCCAGTTTTATTCCACTGTGATCTGAGAGAATACCTGACATATTTTGGATTTTCTTAAATTTATTGACTTGTTTTGTAACCTATCATATATGGTCTATCTTGGAGAATGTTCTATGTGTTGAAGAAAAGAATGTATATTGTGCAGTTGTTGGGTAGAATGTTCTGTAATTATTTGTTAAGTACATTTGTTCTAGAATGTACTTAATGTTCTAGAATGTTCAAGAATTGGTACCAATCTTTCTGAAAAATATTCCAAAAGATAGAGAAGGAGAGAATTCTCCCTAATAATTCTATTAATGTAGTATCACCCTAATACCAAAACCAGGAAAGGACATAACAGAAAAGGAGTATAGTTTATGTCTATTATTATTATTATTATTGAGACAGAGTTTCACTCTTCTTGGCCAGGCTGGAGTGCAGTGGCACAATCTTGACTCATTGTAACCTCCGCCTTCATGGTT